CCAGACTAATTCCTTGTTTGACTTCTCTGCCAGTCTCTCTCTGACATGAGAAGCTTGTAGCAGGCAAGTTTGAAAAAATCTTCTGTATCTGCTGGCTATGAATTGCAATGGCAGTATTCAGTTAAGTTGTCTACTTTTTCTTTGAATATTCGATGGTAATCTAGTTGTTAAACCCACCCACCCCCCAGTATCCATAAAAGTAGGATATAATAATTAAAATCAATAATATATAAATACATCTTTTCCATCTTATCCCTATTAAAAGTGTTTCTTTTTCCAGTTTCAATGGATTTTGAAATTCAGTATTTCACCAAGGGGGAGCAGAGAGGAGGATAAAAGAACTTGGACTATTGCCAAGTTAATTTTAGGGGAGCTTAGAATAATTTATTTTGAAAATACTGTAAGGAGGAGGGGAAAATAATTCCAGGTGTTCTCCATCCTGTTATATTCACTCCTAGTTTTATGACTCAAGCCACTCACCTCCATGGTGCTCCTGATCACATGCTTTAATCCTTGATGGATGATGGAACAGCCAGTGAGAGCCAAGTTGACATGTTACCCTTATTAGGTGGACACATCAGCTATAACAAAGAAGGTGGTAGAAGTCATGGGAGATGAAAGGTGTTTTAACAACAAAGGTTGAGGCTACTTTGAAATTAGTAACGACTATGCTCATATTACAATATGATTAGTTCACATTTGGCCTCTGTGTTGCTCAACCCAACCAACAGTGATATGTTCTATAAACTATAATTATCAAAGTGTGGCTTAGAATGGTAAGCACACTAGGCCAGTATTTGATAATTATGAAATTTTCATCCACACATGCTCCCCCATAAGTTAATTTCTTCTGTAGTTATCTTAAACCCTCAGGTGTGTGTGTGTGTGTGGAATAGAACTAAATACCCATGAAATTATTCAGTGTAGTTTCTTTGCTACTACACAGTTGAGGGAGCCTTTACCTATCAGGCATACGTCTTCCAGTAGAGTGCAAGGATTGTTTCTTGGTGGAACTGAGGTCCAGCATGACTTTAAAAACAGAAGCATGGCTACCTACATATCTCTTGAAAACCAGCTCCACTGGACTCATTTCTCAAGCAACAAAGACATACATGGACAGCTATCAAATGACCTGAAAGATCAAGTTCATCAGTCTCTTCCCTGAACCATATGATTTCAGTGCTACAGTACTATTTCACATAATGTATGCCTGTCCTGCTTTTTTTCCCCACTTTCCTCAACGTCCCTTTTCCTTCTTTTTAAATTGTAAATTTGCAATCGGGCTGTTCTTTCAATAAAGAAATAACATTTTGCCCTGATGTTCTCTAGAGACTGCAGAGAAAAATGAAAACATTTTAAATACTGATGTGACACAGCCTGACAATCTTAAGTTCACTGTCAAAAAACAATTCCTTTATAGAAAGCTGGTAAGAATTTTATCTGCAGTGGATCTTTGACCAATATTTCCTGAGTTGTCAAAGCAGTAGTAGTTCAGCAGTAAGAAAACTGGAAGAAAGACATCCAAATAAAATATTTTCAGATTGCAATTGGGAAATGTTTGTCCATTACAAGAGAGTATTCCAGCATTTGATTTCCACTTTCCATAACAATTTTATATTTGCTGCAGGCAAGTTAAAGCCAGGCAGAAGTAGGGAGCAGATGTGAATAACAATGCAAGAGAAGCCAAGATGTATCACCTTTCATTATTCTCCATCTCATGTGAATATTAAAAGGATATGTAAGAAAAGACAGTATATCCAGTTCAGTCTTAGTTGCAGTGATAATTTGATAATTTAATTGGATCCATCAAAACTGATCACACTGAATGAATCTTCCAAAGAAAAATTTGTGAGATGTAGATAAACATTTTAGTTGGGTTTGTCCTTGGAAGTGGAAAAATCAACATTTCAGTTTATGATCATGAAACTCGTGACTATGTTGGGAAAATCAGTATTTGCATAAGAGTTAAGGAAGGTTGTTGGAGAAAAACTGGAATACCATTCAGGACTCTATGTTAAAAACTTTGATGTTACCAAATATTCCGCAGTGCTTCAAAGAAACTCACAATGCAAGCTTTTGCATGTATAATATCCCATAACTTTGCAGAATTCAACAGAGCACCCCCCCCCAAGTATTTTTGAGTAACAAAACCCATACATTTCCTGTATTAATGCCAACAAAAGAAGGAGCCCACAAATTGGGGACTCAAAAAGGGGGATATAAATTGTGTTGATGACATTTGTTACTTAAGGGCTGAAGTAATATCCCTTCTGGATATTATTTGTTCCAGATATTCTAAAACAGGGGTGTTAAAATCAATTTCATTGAGAGCCGCATTAGGCTTGTGGTTGTCCTCGGGGGCCTGTGGTGGGTGTGACCGTAGGCATGGCCAGCTTGACATCACCCGGTGGTGGCCCAGGTGGGGCTGGGGGGATCCATTGTCACCAGCAGAGGAAGGCGAGACCAGAGTGAGCGCCAAACCCTTTTCCACCAGAGAAGCTTTGCCATCCCTCTCAGGCCACATGGAGGACCCTTGGATGGCGGCGCAGACTGCCTGGAGCCCTGGGCAGTGGAGGGCAAGTTTCTAACCCTGCCCAACTTCCCCAAGGGGCTGCCCGGTTGCACTTACCTCCTCCTCGAGGCTGCTACTGCTGTGCTCTCTCTCCTTGGCCAGGTTGCTCATGATGTGTGTGGGAGGGCAAAGTGTTTGGGTCAGAGGGAGGCCCACTCCTCCTTCATGTGAGGAGACCTGGCTTTGATGGCAAAAAGGCAGCAAGGCTGCTGACGGCCAAGTGCTAAGGTAGGACTTTCCTCAGACCCTCCCTCCCTCTCATTATAATGTTCTTCCTTCCCTTCCTTTTCTTCTTTTTCCTTCCCTCTTCCTTCTCCTTTCTTTCTCCTTCCTTCCCCTTTCCTTCCTTGCTCTCTTCCCCTCTTTCCTTCTTTTTCTTTGTCTTTCCTCTTTCCCTTTCTCCTTTCTTGTCCTTTCTTGATGCTCAAATGCAAAAGGGGAAACATTTCTCGATGCCTCTTTACTGTGATCAAATGCCACTTTTGCTAGTAGTTCGCGGCCACTTAAAAGAACGAGAACAAATCAGGCTCAGTTTATCCCATGCTTGCATTTAGTGGGGGCATCCACAGACAACAGTACAGCTGTGGCAGTACTGTGATAGTTGATCAGAGCTCCACTGTTTGTTATGTGCAACAGCTTTAGCACTTTAGAAACAGAGGTAAGTTAGTTGCTTTCCTATGAATACATAATCCTTAAAAGGGCTCTCCTGTCATGGTATAATTCAGACTGGAAATATAGCAAAGGAAAATATTTCCCCCCACTCTGCTTTGTCCTGTTTTTCCCACTGGAAATGGCTGTTTGCAACACACAAGGAGGGGATACTTTCCTGAGAGCTCACAATTCAAGAATACCAATGTTAACTTGGACTGTCAACAAAGTTCTGTCTGTGACAAAACAGAACACAAAATTACTTTCTCCTTTGAACTGGGGCATCTCCAACCAAGTTACCTCTCCTTCCTCCCTCCCTCCCTCTTTCCTTCCTTCCCTGCTTTCTTTTTGTTTTAAAACTGCCAGAGGCTCCGGACAGAGGCTTCCCATTTTGACCCCTCCTCCCTGTCATTGCCTCTGCGGCTGATGAGATTCTCTGCAGTCTGCCATTGCGAAAGGTCTCTGTTCAGGGTGCAGGGCTGCAAAGGGAGGTGGGGGAGATCCCCCTGCACACAAACACAAACACACCAGTGGTGGGTTCCAAATTTTTTTTACTACAGGTTCTGTGCGCTTGGCTTGTTGGTCATGTGACAGTGGGTGTGGCTTGTTGGTCATGTGACTCCTGAACATCCAAAATATACTATTTAATCCTATGTATATATGCCATGTGTATATTACATAGTATAGAGTGTGTATAGGCACAAAAAAAGATACATTATCTACTATATATACTGTATGCACACACCAGGGGTGGGTTCCTGCCAGTTCTAACCTCTTCTATAGAAGAGGTTTCACAAATCTACAGTGCCGTTTAGAACCAGTTCCAGCTCCCTCCCCCCGCCTGTCTGCACATCATCAAGATGAAGAGTGAGAGGAGGAATTCTGGGAGTTGAAGTCCATAAGTCTTAAAACTGTCAAGTTTAAACACTTAAACTGTTGTTTTTTTTCTAAAGGGTTAGGGGTNACAGAGAAGGCCCTCCCCCGGGGAGTTGCCAGCCGACATTGGCTGGCAGATGGAATTCGGAGAAGGCCTAGTCTGTGGGATCTAATAGGTTTTTGGGAGGTAATTGGCAGGAGGCGGTCTCTCAAGTAACCAGGTCCGATACCATGTAGGGCTTTAAAAGTAACGACTAGCACCTTGAAGCGTATCCAGAGACCAATAGGCAACCAGTGCAGCTCTTCTAACCGGTTCGGTAGATTTGACGAACCGGTTCTACCGAACCAGTGTGAACCGGTAGGAACCCACCTCTGGCCTCCAGCCTCCATTTTATTTCCAGTGACTTTCTCCCAGCTTGGAACCGAACCAGATGGATTTTCCTTCTATCAGTAGTGAGATTATTCCACCAAAAGATGGAAAACCAGCTGAAATACATCACATTCTGCCAGGTTTAGAACGGTCCATACAATACTCTTCTGGGCTAATTATTTTACTGAATTGTGGAATACTTTTACTGTATTTCTAGAAAAAGAATTATATACAACTAGTTTGCTAAGCAACAGAAAAAAAATCATAATTTCTGTTGCTTAGCAAAACTGTCTCCCAAAGCTGACCCTGAATTTTAGGGACTGCGGAGGTATACTTAACATTTCATCATGCAGAAATATTGACCTCACAAAGCACAATAAAAGAAACCACCCACTCACAACCTTCCTTCCCATCATCCTTCCAAGTATGATTTCTATTTAGTGCAGAAAAAGCAGCTTTCGTATGAACCGTCCATTAGAAATTATGAAATCTACGAGGTCTGCTTTACTTTCTTTCTAAGACACTGTTACCTTGTTAACTGAAAGATGACATTGCTTGGAGAGAAATGGAGGGCTGGATAACTTCTATCTCTGAGATTTTGGTATTCATCTTTCCACGTTGGTCTGTAAACTGAATACTTGGTTTGCAGGCGATGGCACCTTAAAAGAAAAGACATCAAGACTGGGCTCTAATTACCAATCTAGTTTTTAATTCTACCTAGTGACAGCAGTTATAGCAATAGCAATAGCAATAGCAGTAGACTTATATACCGCTTCATAGGCCTTTCAGNATCTCACCGGCTCAAGGTTGACTCAGCCTTCCATCCTTCCGAGGTGGGTGAAATGAGGACCCAGACTGTGGGGGCGATATGCTGACTCTGTAAAAACCGCTTAGAGAGGGCTGAAAGCCCTATGAAGCGGTATATAAGTCTAACTGCTATTGCTATTGCTATTATGGGTGGCAATATACTGACTCTGTAAACTGCTTAGAGAGGGCTATAAAAGCACTAGGATGTAGTATATAAGTCTAAGTGCTATTTCTATTATTGGCTGATGGGAGGAAATGGGGAGGAAGGAATAGGAAAATCTTTTCACGTAATAAGGTCTGTTTATTTGATGTAATCAGGTCTGTTTATTTGACGCTGTGCTTCATCCATAAATAGCAAGTAATATGAGCAAATTGCTACATATTCATTCCTCTACAATACTTTGTTTTTCTTTCTTTTTTCTTTGTTCCTGCAGCTGGTTTTTCTTTTTCTTTTCTGGTAATGTACACATTGTGCTCTCAGTGTCTCAGCAGCATATGGAAGATTTGTATTGTATGTATGTACATGGTGAATGTAAATTTCAGACTTTAAAGCCTCTTTCTTTAAACCAGACATTTCCTGGGAATGCGGGGATTTTACATGCAAATTCTTTTGATGTCGTATTAAAGGAAAACACAAACAAATCTGTAAGTAGCGCTGTTGGCAGCAACTTTGAGACATTTTTGTAGATTTCTGGAGGATGAGGGCACATATGAGAGAGTGTTTTGTAGATTTTCATCAGAAAAAGTCAGATATTAGTGGATTTAGTATAAATCCTACTGCAAAGGCCAGGGGGATATATATTGAAGTCCTTTTTTTATTGGTGACTGTAGTCCATACAAATAGAGAAATATTTCGGTGGTTCTTCTCCCAATCACTGCTTAAAATCTTTGCCCACATACAACTGAAGATTCTCAAGTGGTCTAAAATAAGACCCACAAAAAATGATGTCTTCTATCTAGGGGGAAACATTTGTCACTGGATTTTCAAGGGAGGGTTGGCATCTCTCAAATAATCCTACATTCTTTGGGCTGTAACCACATGTCTACTTAGCTTGCAGTACAATACAGGTAGTCCTCAAGCTACATTTAGTGACCGTTGAAATTTTAACAGCATTTTTTGTGGGTNTGGATGAAGCTGGCCCTATCCTCAAGAACCGTGTCCACAATGGAACCATCAGCACCTTCTCAAGAAGATCTGTATCCACCATCACATTAAACTGGCCCCATCCTCAAGAGTCATCTCCCCAATGGAACCACCACCTTCTCAATTAGGTCTCTAACTGGATGAAGCTGGCCCCATCCTCAAGAGCCGTGCCCACAACGGAATCACTGCCTCCTCAAGAATCAGTAACTTCTCAAGAAGATCTATATCCACCATAACATTAAGCTGGCCCTGGCCTCAAGAGTCATCTGCCCAACAGAACCACCACCTTCTCAAGAAGGTCCATAACTGGATGAAGCTGGCCCTATCCTCAAGAACCGTGTCCACAATGGAACCACTGCCACCTCAAGAATCAGCACCTTCTCAAGAAGATCTGTATCCACCATCACATTAAGCTGGCCCCGCCCTCAAGAGTCATCTGCCCAACGGAACCACCATCTTCTCAAGAAGGTCCATAACTGGATGAAGCTGGCCCTATCCTCAAGAACCGTGTCCACAATGGAACCACTGCCACCTCAAGAATCAGCACCTTCTCAAGAAGATCTGTATCCACCATCACATTAAGCTGGCCCTGGCCTCAAGAGTCATCTGCCCAATGGAACCACCACCTTCTCAATTAGGTCTCTAACCGGATGAAGCTGGCCCCATCCTCAAGAGTCGTGCCCACAACGGAATCACAGCCTCCTCAAGAATCAGTAACTTCTCAAGAAGATCTATATCCACCATAACATTAAGCTGGCCCCGCCCTCTAGAGTCATCTGCCCAACGGAACCACTACCTTCTCAAGAAGGTCTCTAACTGGATGAAGCTGGCCCCATCCTCCCGAGCCCCATCCACAACGGCTCATAGGACTTAGGGGCAGGTCTAACCCCCTCCCACTCCATGAAAGGCCTCCCCCTGGGGAGCACTTGAGAGCAGCAACAGGTTCTCTCTCAAGGGCGAAGAGGAGGAGGAGGAGACTCACGCGTCTGTGTATCCAGGGAGCTTCTTCCTCCATTTGGGCTTCTTCAGGGGTTGTCCGTCATCATCCACAATGAAGTCATCAATGTCTGAGGGAAACAGCCGCAAGAACCACTGCAGAGCTGCTCTAAGTGGACCTTTGCCCCCCTCCCTGACCCAATAAAGCGGGGCCTACGTTCCCCGGCCGGCCTGGGAGAGCGGGCGAAGGAAATTCTGAGCCCCAAAGTGCCAGGTTCTAAGATGGGCACAACGCTTGGGGCCTCCCTGGCAAGAGATCTTCTGGTATTTATTCCTTTGCCACTCCAGCCTCCTGCGAAGGAAACCTGAGCTGGCCTTGGGGAGGGGCAGGAATGAGCCAAAATAAAAGAGTTGGAAGAGACCTTGGAGGTCTTCTAGTCCAAATCAAAATTCAGACATCTGGCAACTGATTCATACTTATGATGGTTGCCGTGTCCGGGGGTCACATGATCGCCACTTACAAAGCCAGATTCGCTTAATGACTGCATGGTTTACTTAACAGCGGCAGCGATTCACATAATTGTGGCAAATAAAGAGATCATAACCCAATAAAATTAAGATGGAAAGGTCAAACAAGAAGAAAAAGATGGATGATGGGGGGGGAGGGTTTATTGTTTTGGGGTTGCCGGGCGGCTCCTCTCTTGCGAGCTGCCTCCCAGAGACCCTGGCACAGCCTCATGGGCGAATGACTGTGTTGCGCTGTCACAGCAGAGCAACACAGCAGCCATGAAGCGACCACACTCATGAGCAGCCACCCGACAAACCCCCTTTCCAGCCGGGCACAGCACCATTCATTGACCTAGGGGTATCACCAAGCCGCGTGAGCGCCTGTTTGCTGCTGCCCGGCTCCCGGCTTGGCGCCTTCAAAATGCCAGTGAATGGCGCTCTGCACGGCTGCAGAAGGGGGTTGTGGAAGCCAGAGGACCTCCGCATGGCTTTTTCTGCGGCTTCCAAACCGAGTCTTCCGGCAGCGGCCGCTCTGGGTGTACGCTCTATGGTTGTGGGCCAGCTTCTGGCAGAGCGTACAACCATAGAGCGTACGCCCAGAACGGCCACTGCCGGAAGACTCAGTTTGGAAGCCGCAGAAAAAGCCACGTGGCGGCAGCAGAGGTGCCCTGGCTCTGCGGAGAGAGCTGGGCCAGGGTATTGAGAGGCTGGGAGGTGCGCGAGAGCAGAACAGCCGCTCGCGCAATCCCTCTCCAGCTGTGCAGAGCGCCATTCAGTGCCATTTTGAAGGCGCCAAGCCGCAGGAGCCGGGCAGCGGCGAACAGGTGCTCACGCGGCTTGGTGATACCCCTAGGTCAATGGCACTGTGCCCGGCTTGAACGGGGGTTTGCCACATGGCTGCTTGTGAGGGTGGTCGCTTCATGGCTGCTGTGTTGCGCTGCTGCGACAGCGCAACACAG